ATCTACCGGTCAGTAGTTTTCCATCCAACCTTAAACCTGATCTTACCAGGGATTCTTTGTCAGGCTTATACTTTGGCCGGAGACCTGAAACCACTCTTTCTTACGAGCAAGTGCCGGTTTAATTTGTGTTCAATTTCTGGGGACAAAACCACGATGCTGACTGACTGTCCAAACCGGAAGAAGTTTGTCACCCAGTGGAGTCTAAAAGATGGAACTGAAATCACTCGTTTTTCCCACGAACACGATATTTTATCCTTTGCTTGGTCTCCTAGTGGAAGGCTGATGGCGATCGCCGATTCTGCGCGTTGCATATACCTGATTGACACACTTGATGGATTAAAGACTCTGATACGGGCTGATACTCCAACAAACTGTAGTATGTTAAAGTTATCTCCTGATTGCCGGTTCCTATTCGGTTTGTGCTTTGGTAGGGATGAGATGGAGATAACTGAGCACTTCCTGATTTTGTGTTTAGATATTCAGAGGGACACTGAATCAATATATAATTTTGATCGCTTTCCGATTACGAGTCACAGCGAGTACGCCTTAGCATTTGAAACTTGCAATGAGAATGGCTTTTTATCAGGAGATCCCTTTTGGTATTCATTTGAGAGAAGTTTCTGTGATCTTGCGGCGTTTGCACTTGTACTAAGTAAGGAGCTGTTTATAAGAGCTTCCCCTTGCAGTGGTGTCATCGAAATGTTTAGGCTTAACGAAGTAAGGATGGTGAGAGGTGAAAGTAGCGATGAAGCGGAGCAAGGCACAGATCTTGGTGACCTTACGGAACAGAGAGGCGAAAATAACGATCTAACGGAACAGAAAGCTGAACTCGCTGGCCTACCAGAAGAGGAAGAACTTCTTGATTTAGATGACCTAATGGAAATTGACGATATGCAGGAACGGAGAGCTGAAAACGATGTCTTCTCAGGACAGAGAGCTGAAGTTGTTGATCCACTGGAGCAGAGAGCTAAACTTGACGACCTACCAGAACAGAGAGCTGGACGTGGTGGTTTAGTAGAACATAGTGCGAAACTCAACAACACCACAGAAAAGAGAGATGAGCTTGATGACGTTGTGGGACAACGAACGGAATTTAATGACCCGAAAGAAAAGAATATTGAACTTAACTCAGTGGAGGTGGGTGTTAAACTGGTTGAATCATCAGTAATATTGGAAATTGACCCTTGCGGTCTATCAGAGAATGGAGCTGATCTTTATGACCTTTCGGAAAAGAATTCTATAGTTTCTGACCAACATGAACTCGACTTAGAAGAACTTTATCTCTTAGCTGATGTGGATCAACAGGGTCCTTTACTGGAGGACGAAGAAAACAGCGTTGTTGAAGATGAAAATATCGTGAATGACGTTCATTTCTCTGTTGATGGCGACTCTCTCTATGTGGTAATGGGTACAATAATACATGGGATGAATCTTAGGACTGGGGGTATTTTTACTAAAAGGTTTAAGGGCGAATGGGCGACTTGGTTTGGTGGCATTAGTCTTGTGCCCGTCAAAAGAGGTGTCTTATTTCAAAGAAGGAAGGGAAGGAAGTCGCTTGAGTTGTGGAACTCTGAGCTGTCTGTTTGCATCCAAGGGTGGCCTGCCTTTGACGCCTACGATGTTGTACCCCTATCAGAGGAACGAATCGCCATTAAACCGCTGTCTTCCTTCAGTCGGAACTTGGAAGTGACTGTTCTAGATACAACAAGTGGAAAAATTGTTTCAATTATTGGAAATTTTGATGGTACATTTTTGGCATGTAACAGTAAATGTGAAGTGCTAACCTATACTTATGGGGACTCAATGCAGCTGCGGTGTGAAAACAGAGTGTTGTGGGAAACTTCTCTCCATCCCGATCTGCAACACATATCCGGTTCTGTTATTTTTTCTCCTACTGAGGAATACTTTATCATTTCTGGTAAAACTGACTCGTACGTCTTCGATGTAGTTTCGGGAAAAGTGATTTCTCAATTGAAGGACACGAATGTAGCTTCTACAAAGTTTATCAGCAACGAGGACTGCATTGCGGGCATATATTTCTCAGGACATTACTTTCTTCGATTATACAACGTGAAATCTGGTGATCTCCTGAGTGAAATTGTTGAAGAACGAGAAGTTTCAAGTTTTGCAGCTTGTCCTTGTAAGCGCTTGGTCG